AATAAAAAACAAAAAAAAAAAAAAAAAAAAAAGAAGAAGAAGAAAAGAAAAGAAAAGAAAAGAAAACCAGGTGAAGGGAGAGAGGACTGACAGTTCTGGGTGAGGGGCGGTGAGAGTTGCCCGGGGCTGGGCGCAGGCCTAGATAATCCATGGAGGGAGGTGGGGACCTGGGGTCAGGGCAGGGTGGTGTCCACTGCCTCCAACCAGTTACTGAAGCCACCTCTCGGGACGAGAAAGTGTGAGTAAAAAGAGCAACGAGAGGGACCTCGAATGCCACCTTTCTTCCCCAGAGTCCCCCAACCCAGAAACACTCAGGGCTCAGTCTCCCAGAGATGCTGTCCCTGGCACCCCGCCCCACCCCGAATCTGATTTCTGGATCCAGCCAGCTCATTCCTCCCGACTTCTCGAACAGGCGAGGGGGTGACCACAGCGGTGGGGAGTTGCTCTTCTTTTTTTGTGAATGAACAGGAAGGCAGACACACACACACACACACACGTCCACACGCTCGCGGGAAAGGACGATTGCGGGAGTTGAAGTTGAGCTATACTTCTCTCGCATTCGCATAAAGAGAGGAAGCAGGGAAATGAAGGGGGGAAAGCACTGGAATGGTGGAGAGGAAAACACACACACACAGGCGCACGCGCGCACGCACACACACACACACACACAGAAAGGTTTGGTAGCCCTCTCATTACAAGTTGGTTGGGCATAATGTAAACACACTTCTGCCTTGCTTAATCACAGAACGCCGCCGTTTAGGTTTCAAAGGCGGCAGTAAATTGGGCGTAGCTGAGTGGAGGCTAAAAATTAACCAGCCATCTCTGTTTCAATTTGTAAGAAAACAAAAGCGGAAAGAAATTATGAAAAGGGAAAGGGGAAAAAAAAAAAAAAAAGGACCAGAGGAAGAGAACTAAACTGTCCTGGCCCCAAAACGCAGAGTCGAACTGGGCAAACCAGACCAGCCCGCCTGCACTGCCAGGGCACGAAAAGCAAAGGAGACTGGAGAGTTCGGTGGCTGCTGTACCCTGCCCTGTGGGGGTCCCAGGAAAGCCCCTCCGCCCACCGCCGCTGGCAGAGCCTCTGGGCCTGTGGGCCTCCACCCTAGGGCCTCTCCTGCTTGTTTTCAGTCTCTCCATGAAACCAAATGGCTCTCTGTACTCTCCGGCAGCCAGATCCCAGCTCACACAGCTTCAGCCTGGGCACCTGGGCACCTGGGCGCCTGGGCCTGCTCACCACTGCTCTCTCTGCTCTGTCCTGTCCATCCCCTCTCATGCCCAGGGTTTCTCGTGCCCCTCCGTCCGCCAACCTGCTGCCCACCCCGCTTGTGCCAAATGCTGCTTTTCCTGGGACGTTTGAGGCCGCAGGAAACCCAGCACCTGCCCCCCCACACACACCGGCCCAGTACTTTCTCTGACTCATTTTAAATAAGAGCAATGATCGATTCCCCCCCCCCGCACCCCACTGTGGTGGCCCCCCCCGCACCCCACTGTGGTGGTGGCTCTTTTCAAACTCTCGCCATCACGGATGATTCTGGGGCACCCCAGCCCTGGTCCTAAAACCCGCAGCATCTTTCTGATGGAAGAGTCCCCCAAAGATGGAGACGCACAGAGTCGGTAACATGCCAACGGGGGACCGGGCGGGTTTGGGGGACAGAAAAGAGAAAGGGCCTGTCCAATGTGACATGGGCCCGGCAGGACAAGCGTGCCAGTTAGGCCCTGGGCGCGTGATCATTGGGAAATACAATCAACAGGACTGATGTCAGCAAGGGAACCGAACCCCGAGGCAGCAGGGGGTGTGGGTAGGGGGTAGAAAAGGTGGAGAGCGACCTACCCGGAGTGTGGACAAAGTAAGCCAGATAAAGATCCAGTTCTTTGATTGTGACTCCAATGTGATGTGGCTGGACGCACAGGCCGGGGTTCGAGCACTGGGGCGACTTGTAGAGCCGCTCCCCATCAGTACTTTCCAGAGGGATCCCCTTAAACAAAATCACCATGACCAGGTCCAGCCGCCACACCTTGTCTGCCTGGCGCAGGCAGTCGATCCGCCGGATCTTGCCCTTCTGGTCGGGGTTGGAGAGCACGCAGCAGGGGGGCTTCTTGCCGGTGATGGTCAGCACGAAGTCCTCGCGGAACTCGGGCCGGATGTCCTTGCGCAGCTTGGCCAGCAGCCGGGACGCCCACTTCTGCTTGATCTCGGGCTTCTCGCCCAGCAGCTCGTCCTTCACGGCCCGCTCCTCGTCCTTCGACATCCGCTTCTCGTGCTTCTTGAAGTACTTGCGCTTCCGCGCCTGCAGGTTGAACCAGGTGTAGGAGAAGGCGCGGACGTGAGGCAGCAGCGCCTCGATGAACGGGTGGAACTCATCCTGCAGGCGGCAAGCCGGGAGCATGCGGGGCGAGGGAGGACGGGAGGAGGGGAAGACGGGATGAGGGGGAAAGAGAGAAGGAGAAAAGCAGCGTTAGAAGGGGGGGCACGCGGAAAACCGCCTTCTCTTCCTCCTCCTCCCTCCCCCCCAGCGATTTTCTCTTGCGATTGTTCTACAAAAGTGTGGTCTGAAGCCACCGCCGGTGTCGCCAGCCACTTCCTCCCATCTCAGCCTCGGCAGCCAGACAGAGGCACCGGGAGCTTGTGCACACACCTATTCTCTCTCTCTCTCCCTCGCTCACACGCGCGCACAGACAACGCTGCTGTCCACACACACACGCACACGCACACACACACACACACACACGCTGCTGGTATCCCCGCCAGGCTCTGGGGCGCCCGTGACATCTCCATGTTCTATCGCAGCCGTGAACTCGTGTCAGCTCGCCCCGGTGCAGGCGGACGCCCGGGGACGCACACGCGGGGCGTGCGGGAGCCACCTCGAGTCCCAACGCCGGTCAGTTTTTGGCCGCACACCCCCCGCCCCAACCAAGAAGACAGAAAATGACATCCACCGGCGAGGCCAGCGAGGCAACGGATCTGGCGTCCCCCTCCCCGGGCTGTCTTCATTTTCTTTTCTCCTCATCCAGTTGGAACATCCACCCCGGCATTTTTTAATCAGATCTAAATCCCAAATATGTGATTTTTGAGCTTTGTTATTCACACCGATGCTAATGTTAATCACAGTGATCGTGAACGAGGCGCTTCTGGTTGGCGCAACCCGGGAGGTGGTCTCGGCCACATTAGGGTTAAAAGCTATGTGGGGCGTCTTGCGGCCCCTTCCCCAGCCTCCCAAGACCCCCTTCACCCTTTTCCCCACTCAGTCAGGTGACAGAGGGCTGGGCTCTCTCGATTTTGGCTTTTTTTTTTTTTTTTTTTTTTTTTTTGCTGGTTTGCTTGTTTGAAGTTTAAATAATAATTGCTTTCTGTTTACAAAAATAAAACTGGAAAAAAAATAAAATAATTACCATTGGACTGGAGCACCCGGCAAAGCCCAACGCCTGATTCTGAGGTTCTGGACTCAACAAGAGTTGTGAGTTGGGGGCGGGTGGGGGGAGGGGAGGAGGAGGAGAAGGGGAGGAAGGTAAATGTTTTAAAGGGGGTTATTATTGGTGTTCTGAGGAATAGGGGCCGGGCTTGGGTGGATTCTCAAACCCTTCCCCCTCCCCCCCACGCTCCATTGCACAGAAGGGGGAAATTAATATATATATATATATATTTTTTTTTTTTTTGGAAAGGGACCA